TCCCCGCAGTTTCTGTTGCTACCGGTACCGGTTTTTTCGGCAAATGCTTTTAGCTGAACAAATTAAAATTGGCCACCAGAACTGTCAGGAAACATTCAATTTAAAATTCCAATTTTTTAGCTTCCCTGGCACCTGAGTTAGCAACTTACTGGAACAAAATTTTCACGGGCCCGTGCATGTTTACCAAGCATACCTGAGAGCTGGGTTCGGGCTGAATGAAACTTAGGTGGACGGGGTCAGCTGCTGCTGCTGTCAGCTACTGCTGCTGTCAGCTACTGCTGCTGTCAGCGGCTGCTGCTGCTGTCAGCTACTGTTATTGCTGTCAGCTGCTGCAGCCAGCTGCCATCTGCTGCCAGCTGTTGCTGCTGCCAGCTGCCATCTGCTGCTGCTGTCAGCTACCATTGCTGTCAACTGCTGCTGCTGTCAGATACTGCTGCTATCAGCTGCTGTTGCTGTCAGCTGCTGCTGCTGTCAGCAGTTGCTGCTTTCAGCTGCTGGTGCTGTTGCTGTCAGATGTTGTTGCTGTCAGCTGTTGCTGCTGTCAGCTGCTGCTGCTGTCAGCTACTGCTGCTGTCAGCTACTGCTGTTGCTGTCAGGTGCTGCTGTCAGCTGCTGCTGCCAGCTGTTGCTGCTGCCAGCTTCCATCTGCTGCCAGCTACTCCTGCTGCCAGCTGTTGTTGCTGCCAGCTGTTCTTGCTGCCAGCTGTTGCTGCTGCCAGCTGATGCTGACAGCAGCAGCAGCTGGCAGCAACATTCCCCTAAAATTTTCAGCTTTCTAGCATCTCAGGACCCCGAGTTATGAATTTGCGCGGGAAAAATTTTGGGGGCCCGTACGCGGGTACCACGCTTACTCGGGGGCTGGATTTGAGCCCACTATTAGCCGCTTGGGCGGGGAACATTACCCCAAGATCTCAGCCTTCTAGCTTCTCAGATCCTCGAGTTATGAACTGACCCCAAAAAACCTTTGGCGGGCCCGTACGCGAGTACCACCCGGGTTTTGGCGCCAATTTTGTGCATGGAGGCTCGTACGTGCACCTAGATTATGTCCCCAAAGTTTCAGCCTCGAG